ATGGCAAAGTCAGGATCCAAAGGGTGCTGGGAGGAGACAAGTATAACTGAAATTGGGTAATTTTCCAGTGCTCCAAAGTCAGGGCATACTATGATGTTATAAAACTTTCTAAGGAGCAACTAATATATCCTGAGAATTAAATGATTTTAGCTTGCAGTTCAATATCCACAGGATTTGGAAGGTCGATAAAGGTGTTATAAGATGTAATGATACAAAAGTGTAATGAAACCCTTATGTTTTCATTTGTTCGGAACTTTGCATTCATTCATCACCTTTTCTGAACAGTCAATATATAAAGTAAGCTACAGTGTGTCCTGGAGGTATGGAGTGCACAAGATTTAAAATACCCCCTTTGTCATTCTTTTTCACTGCAGTCCAGTGTGAAGAGATTTTTTAGCTTAGTAAACTAAGCAAACAAGAAGCCCCAGACAATCATCAACTATAACTTCTGCATTGCAGTGAAGTGGGTAACATGGACTCAGATGACAAGGTGGAGAAAGTAACCCGTTAGCATGAAAGAAAGGCCAGAGCTCTATATTTAGCATATTAAAATGAGATATACAAATTTAGGCTAAGATGCAAAATAGCTCATAGGGATCTGAAGATCAGAGTGGGGTTTACTTTGACACCCTCACGTGTAGATGGAGTTAAAAGTGACAGGTTGAAGGAGATGATGTAAGAAGTCTGCTAGAGAACAGGATTTCAGACTGAGTCTTGATACTGGTTAACAGTTAGCAGTCAAGTGGTAAAGAAGAATCCAGCACAGTATTTCGAGACACCGTGACCATGGAGATTCTACTTCTCAGGATTCAAGAAGGATGTTTTAGGTGATTATGAATGTAAAGTCTAACAGGAATGGAGGAAGGTCACTGGCTGCAACAGCATGAAAATCTAGAGCAATTTCAGCAGTGGGGTTGACTTGAAGTTCTTTATGAATGCTTGAGAAGAAAGTGATACTGGAAATTTCTAGAGGAATAAGATCATACAGAAATAACACTACTCCTCAAAATTCAGAGTATAAATTAAAAGTTTAAAAAAATTAATATGTATCTGAATGCAAACATAATAAAACAAGGGCAGGCAAATTTGAAAAGAGTCAATAGAAATGCTACAAATAATGAGTGTAGTACTAGAAATAGAAAACTTAACAGAAAGATTAAGTAGGAAACCAGATATAGCCAAACACAATTTAGTAAATTAGGCACGCACTCTCTCTCAGGAGCACCCCAGGCCTTTCCCCTTCCCCTTCCCCTTCAAGTGATTGAGAGATGGAATGTCAAACGTCCAAATGCAGAAAACTTTGGGGCACATTTTCAGACAGTTGAAAATAGTCCCGTAGAAGGGTAACAACAAGGAATAACGAAACATGCAGTGAAGACTGTGAAGGAAAAATGGGATTTATGGTGCGACCTGAAATGCTCCAGTCCCTTAGGAGCTAGTAACAGTCCCCCCGTGGGGCCGGAGGGTCACACAAAAGACCCCGGAGATGGCTGGGCACTCAATGTGTAGCAGAGAGAGATGAGTTCTCTTCTCTGATGGCTTCTGATTTCTCCTTAATGAATAAATTGAAGATGTAGGAAGAGAGTTTGAGTATTTAAGAAGAAGGGAAGTTACAGTATTAAACTCGAGTATTAAACTCAAACTCTAGAGAGTCTGAGTATTAAAGGAGAAGGTATTAAACCAATCTAAGTGCATAGAAAAGTAAATACACTACAGAAATACAGTTTAAATCTTGAGTAATAGTGACTGGCCATTTGGAATTTTGAATCATAAATTTAAAGTTAATTAAATTAAATAACAATTTGATTGTATACTTTCTTCTAGAATTTTTTAATCTGCTTTGGCATGGGCCAAAGAACATAGATTGGTTACCCATTTTGGAATCAGAACATCCACATTTTATATAACTAGTTGCAGTAAAGGTATATATGCCTCTACATGTAAAAATTAATATGACAAATTTTGAATTAATATAACAGGTCAACTAGATGTTGTGAGAATAGGACTTGAGGTCATTCTAAAGCATCCTTTTTCATGAGCTGATCAGAACCCTAGAACTTCCAGAATTATCTTACACAGTCTTCTAGTTTTGTTAAATAATTAATGAGTCAAGACTAAATTCCTAGCTGAAATGTATGTGATACAGGTAAATAATCTCAAGAAAAGATGAAGAGACACTCTAAGAGAGTTGATTTACAGTTTGCTTCTGATTCCACCAGCCATGCCCAGCATAGCCATTCTGGCTATGTGACTATTAGCATAGCTGTGAATGTTCCTGGAGGGATAAGGACACCCACCTCACCATGCCATCCCTCTAGGAGAAAACCGACAACAGCTACTAGAAGGTCTGATGGAATCTCTACCCTGGTCAGCCTAAGGGTCAACTTCCTGGGAAATCAAAAATGGGGAGGCGCTCTCTGGTAGGTATACCCTGCTCATTTTCACGCCATGCATTTTTGCATAGCTTTTTTTCCCTTTTAACTTACATTGAATTGTCTATATCTATAAACATATTCTATTGATTATTGTCAACTTTATTTTTTATTTTACTTTACAGAATTGGCTTAGTAAAAAAGCATACATGGTTCCTTAAAAGGGGGAGGGAAAGGGGAAATGGGGGAAAGAAGGGGAAGGGTCAAGTCAAGGAACATGTATAAAGGACCCACAGACAAAGACAGTTTGGGGAGGACTGAATGTGGGAGGTGGGGGCTGGGGAGGGGAGCGGAGAGCAATGGGGGGGAATAGGGACAACTGTTATGGAACAACAATAACAAATTTAAAAAAAACTGAAAAATGTTTCACTAACAGATCACTTTAAAAAGAGGTTTTAAATAATTATCTGCTTCTTTCAGAAATATCGGTAAAAAATAAAGACATCAGAACTCTGATACTATAGAACATAAAAATTAAATTAAATTTACATAGCTTTTCAGGACCATACATAAAATGTTGTATATTTTACACGTGTTGTACACGTGTATCTGTGATTCTTGGTTGCTAGCTAGGTTATACTGAATTTTACATTTGTGATTTCTGTTTACGAATTTAAAATTGCAGAATTTTTCTATAATTGTGTTCATATAGCTAAATGTATTTTTATCTAATGTAACCTAAATGTAAAACCCAAAGACATCTCAAAATTAGCAAGTCTAAAACAAAGTAATTCAAATTGCTGCCTGCTATATAAGTACCTTATAAGGCATTTATTATCAAAACTTGGCCTGATTGTTTGAAGGTGAAATGTGTCACACTGCCATGTCTTCAATAAATCCCCACAAGTCTTTTTGTTCTTTTAGTAACTGCTGCCTCCCAATCTTTTGGTAAATCCTCATCAGGTTTGTGAAATAAATGTTTTCAAAGCAACTGACATAGCGTAATTTCACTTGGAAGTGTCAGTTACATAACAAAATATCATTTCCTTAATAGTTATTAAGTATTTAAAGCACAGAAGAGAGACATTGATGGGGAAACGCAGGGCTGGCCTGCTAGGCTGATTTAGACTTGTGCCGTGATCGTCATTTTGGTGGGAACAAAGTGTGTAAACACCAGCCTTTTAGCCACTTTGATGCTGGACACCTGGACCTCATATTCATCATCTTACCTTGGAAATACAAGGCAAGTAGAATTAATGTATGGCTCCCTTGATTGCTGATTCAATAAATCTAATTTGACTATTTCCATATTTACTAAATTTTACTATTTGGGATGTTAAATGGTGTGCCTTTCAGCTCTGATACTGCTTACCAAACTCAAATACCTAACTTAAAAAAATTTAGTTTTACTGCATTTTAGCTTCCATTAGTTTTCCTAGGGTACTTAAAGTTGTAAACTACTGAATAGATTTTTTTTGCATAAATGCCCAAATTATACAGGTCCGTAGTGCTTAAATGGCTTTATAATCTTGCTTGGTATCTAGAGCTAACCCATAATATATGGACTCAATAGAGTTGGTCGCATGGAAATCCCCCACTAAGATGCCTTTGTTAGAAGAGAATCGTAGGTGAGCTCATCCTTAACATTCCAGGGTTGACAGAGACAAGGGCAAAATTTCAGGTGGAACAAACGACCTTCCTTTAGTAGAAAAAAATGTTAGTGAGTGTTTTCCCTCTTTCTTAAAAAATAACAATAGCATGAAAGTAACAGAATTTTGACTATGCTTTCATTTTGAAATTAAATAAAGGGCATCTATCAGATTTCTTCTTTAGCTAATTGGAAGAGGGATATGGAATTAAGATGCACACTCTACTGGGAACTTAGAGACAAATTAAAATGTTAGATATAATTAAATGATAGAGTGTGGAAAGACTTGAGAGGTCATCTATCTTGTCAAATCGCTTTCATCTGAAAAGGAACAAACTTAAATCATCCTTCAATGATTACTATCTGAACCCTTTTAAAGATAACCCCAATTAGCTCAGCCACACAAAGCAATGTTTAACGACTGCCATCATTTGAGAAATAGTCCTGATATCTCAATGTCTCCAGCTGTGGAAAAAAAACCTTTGGTGTGCCGTCAGTTTAGATGAAGAAAGAAATATTTCAAACCTTTCCATAAGGAATTGTAAAGCTGTCCACTCAAACTACCTGTGCTCTCACCAGAAGAAAGTCCCTGTTTTTTCAGTGGTGTTTATTCTTGGGTTTCCTCTCAAGCACTTTTGTTAGTTTCATGTTTCTGCATTAATATTTACCATTCTATGTCAACTTACTTTCCTGAAGCCCAAGTTAGACAAGAAGCTTTAAAAAATGTGTTTCAGTGGAGTTAAGTGCAATAGGTAAATTCCTCACTGTTTGTACCACTGTATGTTGTGTGTTTGTGTCTTCAACTTCTGCAACCCTGTACTACCTCTTTTTCTTCCACTGTCATAATGAATTCCCAGATTTATTCTCCTGCTCAATATGTCAACTTACCTTTCCCCTTGGGATTTTATTTCATTAAAATGAATTTGTGCATACAAAGAGTACAAAGAGGTAAAAAAAATTATTGAGAGAACTGAACTCACCCTGGGATTAAAGGTGGCGTCATTGATGGAATGCATGTGACCGTAAAGTGACTGCTCACATTGACCCTGGGAAGACAAAGCAGAAATGAAATCAAATACATTCCATTCCATGTGTGTTAAAGCAACTGAAGGACAATTAATTTTATGCTTTAGTCCAATAATCAAATTAATACATTCTCATGATAGAAAATGTTAGCTTTTGACATCAGCCGCATTCAGAATCAGACAGGGCTGTGCTAGCGAGTGTGCCCCCCGCCCCCCGGGCTGGCAGCTGCCCTGAAGTCCCTGCACCCTGGGCTGGTCTCGCCAGGTGACTCCATTTTGCAGTTAGTCTAGTTGTCATGCCGACGGGCCAAGTAGGGAAGCCTGTGATTTCTGCTACTGCTGGGGGTGTGGGGTTCTTTTTCCTTTTTTTTTTAGCTTTAAGATCATTTTTTAATTCCTGAATTTTCAAAGTTTGGCATTAAAATCATTATAGTATAAAACACATTATAAAACACGTACAGTAACATTTTTAACACAAAATAAGCATCTGTTTTGTAAAAACTATATCTACCCATTCAGTTCACCTTTTCTAAACAAAGCTAAAATTAACTATAAGAATTTCCAAGCTTCACTTTGAATGATTCCAGGAAAAATGGCTCATAACACATGACAAAGGGGATTTAAATTGGGGAAGCGGCCAGTAGTTTTCATTTTAACACCAATGTTCAAAGGGCATTCTTTACTATCTGAGAAAAATTATTCAAATTCTGTAGGAGAACCAGGGGCAAATATAGCTGGAATATTGTTGATAGATTCTTGTTATGGTCTGAAATTCAAATTTAATTAGACAATGTATTCATCCAACAAGTTACTTTTGAGCAATTAACATATGTCAGGGGTAATCCTAGGCACTTAGGGTACGTCAGTGAATAAAACAAAGAGCTTTGTCCCCATTAACCTTACATTGTAGGGAGGAAGAGAATAAATAGACATTTCAAAAAGGCACACAGTATGTTAGAAGGTAATAAGTATTGTGAAAATGATGAAAGTCAGACAGAGTAAGGGGTACCCTGAGTTTTGGGACTGAGGAGCTCAGGGCAGATCAAATGGTCAAGTGGAGTGATGTGCTTTGAGCCCATTCAGAAATTAAGTTTTGAACAAAGACTGACGTAAGGGAGTTAACCAAGCAGACATCTGGAGAAAAAGCATTCCAGAAACAAGGAAAAACTAAAACAAATGTCTCAGGGTAGGAGTTTGCCAAGTATGTACCTAGGAGAGCACAGAGCCAAAAGGGCTGGTAAAAGGTCAGTCCAAAAACGAGTAGGTTTACTCAAAAGGCCCTGGCTGGTGTAGCTCAGTGGATTGAGCGTGGGCCTATGAACTAAGGAATCGTGGTTTGAACTAGGGAATCATGGTTCGATTCCTAGTCAGGGCACATGCCTGGGTTGCAGGCCAGTTCCCAGCACGGGATACATGAGAGGCAACCGTACATTGATATTTCTCTCCCCCTCTCCCTCCCTTCCCCTCTAAAGATAAATGAATAAAATCTTTTTTAAAAAAAGGCCTCATCTGCTCTCATTCACTACCTTGTATTTAGTCGGTCCTCAATCATTTAAGGCTGGAAGATAAATTACAGAAAAGACTACTAAAAAGAGACATTCAAGATAGAGTGTCATCATCGTGTCCTTTAATGCTATATGACAGTCATGGAATATTTTGGAATTATGCAAACTTGGGAAAGCTTTACTACTAGGCTGCAATTAGCACTCATCATTGCATTCAGCAAATTAAATTCCAAAAGTTTATTTACAGAATTAACACATGCTATTAATCCCTTTTCTCTAGGATTTGCCCACATGAATTTAAATTCCATAAAAAATATGTTGAAACACTTTGGCATGCTCTCAGAAGCCCCCTTGCCCATGTTATCCTGGTTCAGTAAATTGATATTTTTACATCATCAATTATGCTGAGAACTTCAAATCATCCAAATTCTTTAAAGTGGAAATAAATTGCTTACAAGGCCAAAAAGGTGAAGTATAAAATGTTATACTTAGTATTCATTTTTATTATCTTAGGAACTTTCATGGTTAATTTTATTTCAGAACTAGTATCATGTATAAAAGTTATATAACATTATGCTTATATAATGAGTGTTAATATTTTTTTAAATAGTTAAATGAGCAAATTTGCCTCAAAATATTTCATGTATTAATAAAAGTTTTATATTTGGACCTCTTCTAAATTGCTGGCCTCTAACTTACTTGATTAATTAGTAAGGAAAATGGAGTGTTCTGATTCAAATCCTGAATGCCAAGCTTTAATTTAAAGTGGAATCTCTAAGGCACTCTTGAAAAGCCCTGGAAATATGGGGAAATAATGGGAATGCTGACGGACCACATTTGTGCTGCTATAACAAAACCTGACTGGAAGATAAATGTTTCATGAATTAAGAAAAGTTAAAAAAGCTTTTCCTATCCAGCTTTGTTCCCAAGATAAAAGTGAATCTACTCCTTTAGGAGTATGGGGAGTATGTGGGTTACTAATATGCTAGTCTGCAAACAACTTTAATCAAAAGCAATACCCAAACCGGGACGTTAAAATTTGGAATAACTTCTTTGATGAAATCTTGTCAGAATGGTCTTGTTTCCAAAAAGTGAAAAAAAAAAGAAAGAAAAGAAAAAGGGGAGTCTTAATAAAAGGAATCACGTGACCTAACATGGCAGGGCTCCAGTATTTGATTCCCACAGGGGATCTGTGTGCAATAATGCTGTAATAGTTTCTACCATTGGCCCTGGGGATAGAAACGTCTGGGACTTAATCTTTGGAACCGCTTCCTAATAGCCATGTTACATGTTAAACAAATTCCTCCACTCCACTGTGCTTCAGTTGTCTCATTTAATTCTCAAAAAAAAAAAAAAAACCCCAAAAGTTACGCAGCATGACCTGTGTCCAATGAGGTGATAGTTAACCTATGGTTTTGTTTTGGAAATTAAATAAGATCATGCATGTGAAATGTTGGTGGAGTGCTTAGACAAAGTAAGAGCTTGATAAATACTAGCTCTCAACCAGAGACATAAACCATTGAAAATGCTGATGACTTCCAAATCGCCTTCTCTACGCTTAGCCATCTCTCTGCCCCTCTAAAGGAACGAGTCTTCGACACATCGGGGCTGTTTCTTCTATTTGCCCCTCAGCCATTTCCCTTGGGGCACTGCCCTGCTGTCTACAGTCACATCCCCTTGGGCTCTCTGTCCTCTGTTCTCTACCACAGGACAGCACCAGCAAGGTACGGAAGAGCAGAATTATGGACAGAACAGATAAACACTTCTTGCTCAGCTGTGATTTTGTCAGTGACTCTGTCCTCTGCCGAATTCCACGACTCCTGTCATGCGGGTCCTCTCCCATAGCGACAGCTCACGTGTGTGCAGTAATGCTCTCCTTCAACGACCCTTCAGACCTAGGGCAGTGCTGGCCTCCCGTTGTCGCTAGCCCTTGAGTGCTGGGTTTGGTCCATTAACCCTGTTCACATTTCTATAAATATTCAACTGGAGTTTTCCTCATGTTCATCTGTTTCCTGCTGGTGACTTGTCTGATAGAACATGTCAGACATAAAATGCTCAAGCAGACTTTTTAACTCACTACTTCCCAATCACCTGTCTTGATTCTTGCCAAACTGCTTCCTCTGAGCAAATGGCATCACAATGGCTCAAACCAAAAACCTAGGCCATCCAACATCTGAAATTAGAATAGCTCTCCTCTTCCCCGACCCCTACCCCACACATCATCCAGTATATCAGGTCTACTGCGCCCTGCTCGGTCACTCTCCATCACGGCCACTCTAACACCAGACACCATCATCGGGCGCATGATGACAGCAGAGGCAGCCTTATTGATCTGCTTTCTCCTCCTCTCACTTCACTCCCCATCCATTTCTCTCCGGCCACCAGCATGATCAATAAAACCTGAGTCAGATCATGTTATGCTCCAGCTTACAGCCATTCCAACAATTACCGCTGTATTCAGGATACATTCTAAACTCTGTACTCAGGTCCAAAGACTCTGTGTTGCTTGTCACCTGCCTGCTTCTCAGACCGCACCCTTGTCCATTCTCACTTCTCATGCACTGTGTTCCACAAGGGTTTTCATATTTCTATGTGGTCAGGGCTTGCTGAGCAAAGAGTTCTATACTTGGGTTGCAGGATGATTAAATAGCAACTGTAAAGATAGAGAACTTCAGAGAGATTTAGGGGCATCTCTCCCTGAAGCATTTCTGGTTTTGTTGTTTGTTAGTTTACCTTCCAGAAGTTACAAGCCTAAAGGACTTCTTCTCCTCCTTTCAGAGAGGATTTATTTATATTTCAGAACAGACAACCTCTCTCCCCCCCCCACACACCCCATCAGAGAAACAGCAGACAGACCCTGACTTTCATAATTTGGGGGTTTCTTTTTGTGCACAACTCCACTGCACCCACAGGGTACGCCTGGCTCTGGCTGCTCCTCCCCATGAGAAAGTGGGGGATGACATATTAACAGAAACTGCTCAGAGAGTAGATAAACTGTCTGACCTTTGGGCCAGCAACCTTCTGCTTTTCCTGCCAGGATAAATAAGGAAATATAAACATAAAAACATAGCACTGTCATATTGGTCTCCCTCTTCTAACAGGCCTAGCATAGTTCTGCCTTTATATTTCTCTGTTCTCTACTTTGCGTATTTTTCTGTAACCATAGACACGTCCTTGTCCTTCTCATTCTGCCTTTAACTCAAACTCTCTCCTTTTCCTCTTGGGCACTCAGCCAGACTTGAGGTCAGGTGCACCCAGGCGGCTGAGCTCTGCCCAGCGAAGTAAGTCCCATGTAGGCCTGGCCCTTCAAACATCCCACACAATACCCTAAGCTCTTTATTTTTGCCTCTATTCAGCCATAGGCAAAGGAGCCCTGGAACAAGCCTGAGTTTCTGAACCACCACAAGGGGAAGAGCCACCAATTAGGACCTCTGGCTGGGCATTGAATGAATGAGGACTAAGCTGTCACTGTGTCAAACGCCTGAGAATTCAGGGTTCCACTGTTTTAACAGGTGT